CTGGGCGGGCTGGTGGGTGATGCCGACGGGCTGGCGGGGCTGCAGGGAGGTGCAGATGAACCAGCCGGGGAAGGCGGCCGACTCGAAGCGGGTGGTGCCTTCAGCCGGGCTGTCCAGGCGGTAGAAGATGAAGCGAGTCAGCTCCACGCTCTCGATGTCCCTCCTGATGTCAGCTTCCTGCAACCGGGGGAACAGGGTTCAGCGGGGAATGAAGCCCCCAGCCCCGTGGGGGACGGAGGTGGCGGGACCCCCCCCCTCACCTCCAGCTGCAGCACGGGCTCAGCGCCGCTCATCACGCACGACATGTAGAGTTGATAGCCCTTGATGCCCAATGCCACGGGCACCCGCCCGGTCCCCGGGCCACCCTGTGATGACCGGGGACGGGACAGAGCGATTGCAGACAGAACGGATGAGTTAATGGGTGGTCCCGGGCCTGCGGGTTGGCTCCCGGGTGGTCCTGGGGTTGGGGATGGGCACATTGAGTTGGGACCAAGTCACCTCACCTTTCCGCCCCGCAGAGGGTCCCTGCAGGTGCAGGGCCACCAGCTGGGTGGGTGACTCCAGCACGAAGCACTTGTGGTCGATGTCAAGGATGTCGAAGGACTGGGAGCGGGTGTAGCGGTAGACAGGTGCCCCAGCGTGGCTGCCCTTGATCTGCTGGAAGGAGACGGGCTCTGCGGGGAGGGAGGTGGTCAGGGGAATGCTGATGCACCTGGGTCCAAGAGCCTCCCCCAAGAGCACCCCCCGGCTGGGGTGACACCCCCGACACCACCCCCTCACATACCGAAAATATCGTCCAGGAAGCCCCCGAGGTCACTGTCGGCAAAGTCCCTGTGTGCCGGCCGCTTCAGGAGCTTGGTCACAGCCGCCACAAGGACGGCAGCCTGGCGAAAGGTCCTGGCGGGGTGCCCCTTGGTCACTGTCACCTGGATGCCCACCCCAGGTGATGTCACCTCCGAGTCCAGGAGGGGTTTCTGGGGAGACAAGAGGCCATGGGGTGAGAGCCTGGCTTCCCCATCACGAGGGTCTCGGGGCCATTCCCATCGCCCCAGTGTTACCTTCCGTGGGCAGGGGCAGTCAGAGCTGTAAAACGTCTCCTCGTTCAGGCTGGAAGGGAAGGAGAGATGGTGAAGCCAGGGCCACCATGGCACCAGGGTGGCATTGTGTCCCCAGTGTCCCCTCCCAGCACAGCCATGCTTACCTGCTGCTCTCCAGTGTGTCCAAATCAGGGACGAACGCCATCTCTTCCGCTGACTGCGAAAACCTGGGAGACAGAGACCTGCCGGTTTTACCTGCCAGCTCTCGGCTGCCTGTCCCTGCCTGTCCTGCCCGCAGCGTTGCTCGGGCACTCTCTGAGCGTGGCATCGGCGCAGTGGGTTTTCAAGAGCTGCTGGAAGGAAGCACCGTCAGAGCGGAATTTCCATCTTTTGCAATGCCTGGGGCTGCCCATTTCCTCTGGTGAAACTGGGAGGGCTGGGGGGTGGGCTGCCCACAGGCAGGGCTGTGGTGCTGAGCGAGGGGCAGAGCTGGTGTGTGGGGCAGAGAGCGGGTGCGATGTTTGGGGTCAATGTGTGGGGTGAGTGGTCGTGTGCTGGGCTGACCCAGCAGGGACTGCCCGAGCCCCAGTCCCATCCCACTGGGGCCGTGATGACGTCCGCCCTCGTCGGGGCTGGGGACTGCGGCTGGCCCCGAAGGAGGCCATGGCGCAAGCACGGCT